GGCTGGCGAGGTGCGAGCCGAGAGCCCTGCACGCAGCGGGGACGGGGACCCCCAGGCCAGCCTGCTCCTAAAGCCTCGCAGACCGGGAGGGGACCGCAGAGCCCCCGTTTTCTGGCAGGGCCGGGCTACCCCCCCACCAGCATCAAAGTCAGCCCCGTCCTCACAGCATGGCTAGTCCACTCGCCTCGTGATTGTCACACGCGAATTTCTTGGATGTTTCTGCCCACTGATCTGCCACCCTGCTCTTCAGCTGTTGGGGAAAGGAAAGCGGAGCTCTGCTCGGGGGGGTCCAGCCTCCTAACAGGCAGAGAGTGCTTTACTGGAGACCACATCATGGCTAATCGAAACAACATTTGAGCAAAGCAAACAGCAGAAGATGCGGGAAAAGAGCTTCCACGGTCAAGACGAGACATAAAGGAGATGGATTCGCAGCAGGGAGCGAGAAGACTTTGCTTAGACTGCTGGCAAAAGCTGCTCAGCTAATGCCAGCAATACCGAGGGGAAATAATCTCCTCCTCCTCCACCATCGCCTGTGGCTGCAAATGCCCTATAGCAGCTCCGGGGGAAGCTCCCTGGGAAGGACAAACAGCTCAGAGCCACCGAGTTTCAAGGATATATCGCTTGGCCATGAAAGACTTGCTCCTGGCTGGAGCTTAACAGCACGTCCAAACGTCCCAGCTGGGGAGCAGCAGAGCCGAATAACCTTATACATTTTTAAAGAGTATCAGTTATGGCCCTGGGATGTGTTGGAGGGTGAAGGCGAGGGCGAAGTCAGGCAGCTCGATGGCTCCTACTGCTTTAATCTACAAGGAGGGTTAGGGCTCAAGGCACAGGCCAGGTTCCAGGAATCTCCCAGCTGATCCTCAGGCACTGGCTACCACCTATTTGCAGCCTTTTATCCTCAAAATGTGTGGTTGGCTCATTGCTCCAGGGGCAGGCAGCCGCAGCTGGGGTCAGGGTGGGGATGCAGGCTTAGCCTGGCTCCGGGTGGGACGCAGGCTCAGCAAGCAGCCGGCCCTCGGGGAGCCGATGCTGGGTAATAAAAGGCTCCAGCAAAAGAGCCGCTCCAACAGCAGTCTCTTTGGGCTCCTGCCTCGGCAGGAGGTCTGCCTGCTTTTGGGACAGCTGTGAGCCATGCGTGGGCTCCTTCCTCGGCCGAATGCACGTCTTTCCTCCAGTACAGCAAAAGACAAATGAAATGGAAGAGCCTGGTTCGAGCCTGGCTGGAGATACCAGCGTGGGGACCCAGCACGGAGCTGGCCCATCGTAGCGACAGCCAGGTGATGCATCTGCTGCCTGGGGACTTGCAGCTCTGGCTCTTCCAATCTGTTTGTGTATTTAGGCCCCTAAGGGGACAGACAGCAACTCCTGTAGATCCCTGCAAATGCCTAATTTACTCGGTGCCTAACACCTATTGACTGCTGGTGGGAGATGGGCACCAAACCCGCACCCGGGAAGCCGCAATAGCGGTAAAGGATGTCGCGCATGGCAGGGAGGAAGAGCAGAGGCGTGTGGGAAGCCTCTCCTCAAATTAAATAGACCCTGGATCAGGCCCCAGGCAATCTGAAGACCGTTCAGAGTTTATGATGCACAAATGGTAGAAATCCCTCTGCTAGCACTTTTGCGGCAGGGGAACAATTACTTGGCTTGCCAGAGCCATCGCTCCCGCTTCCTGGCTGTTAACAGCCTTTACTCCTCTGCTGCTGCTTTATGCTCTTGCAATAGGAAGTAAATTATGATTAACAAGACGTTGTAATTTATGTGCCCAGTAAATCACAACGCCAAGCTGCTGCGTCAGATTTGTGTCTTCGCTCATCCCCGTGTACGGCTGGCTCCGGAGTCCCCGGGAAGCGGCACTTTCCAGCACGTCACTCAGTGAATCAGCGGCTCGGCAGAGCTGGAGCCGGGACGCTGCCGGCTCCCTGCATCTCATCTGCTGCTTAATAACATGCAGATGAGCCCATCAGTCCCTGCTCTGCTGCAGTGTGTTGTTCAGGCTTAAATGGAGCCCAGAAAGGGTTTAGGGAGCCCTTCCCACGCATACAATTTTATTTAAATTCTGCAAGCAGTGTTACACGGGTCTGTCATTTGCTAATTGCTCTCTCAAGGTGAGTGTTCAGAAGTAAGTATGATGCAGGTAGGACTTTAGGCATCTTCGTTTCAAATAATCCTCCCTGGACCCCATTTTCAGCATGCTTTGAGCATGCCGGGAACTTCCCCCCAACACACAGAGCTGATGCTCTGTGGGATTTGCAGGATTTGGGCCGGGCTGGGCTGTTCCTGCTTCACAGCAGAAGTTAGCAGAAGGCTTTTCCTCCTGCCCTTCTCATCATCTTCTCCTCCTCGTCCCCAGCCACACTTGAGGGTTGCTTTTCTCCACGGCTCAGCCACGGGAACGGGTCCAACCCTGGCAGGCAAGTCCTGCTGACTCCAGGACACGCCACACCGGCCCCACCGCCGCTGCAGCAGCGAGAAGCGGGGTGTCCCCAGGGTGCCCGCTTCCTCCCTGCCATGGCCCTTCCATGGGAGCAGCACCAGGAGCTGCGGCTCTGGCCCCTGCCAGGCGCTGAGTGGGAGGAGAGCATCTCTTCGGTTGGATTTCGAGCTCCTTTATGAAGATTGCTTTCCTTGGTCATTTGTTTGGCACACCGTTCGTTTGGAGGGGAGAAAAAGCACAGGGGCATTTGCATGAGCAGTGCTTGGAAAACCTGTCTTCTGGTTTGAACGTGGGGACCAGAGGCAGTCCCACAAGGAGAGGAGATGTTTGTCCTGCCGGCCTCCTCCCCATGCCCGGCACAAGCACGCGGTGGGGCATCGAGAGCGTGTGTCGCTCTGCGTCTTGGCAGGCTTGAGCATCGGCTTTAGGATTTCTCTTGATGTGATCACCAAGAATCAGAGGCAATTAAAGGCTGAGTTTAATTGGCCTCTGCAGCAAGGTTTTTCTGCATAAGCGCAGGAGGTGAGGGGACAGTTTCACCCTCCCCAGATTCAGGCACGTGGCTCTCAGCATGAGGGGGATGGAGGAGGGAGAGACGGTGGGGGAGAGCACCGTGGCTGGTCTGTGCTGCACGGCTGAGCTGCAGCGATGGAGGTCTGGGCTGCAGCACCAGCATGGTGAGGATTTCATCAGGGCTTCGTGCTTTGACTCTTGTCAGAGCTGCTCCTCTTGGCCTAAGGACGCTGGGGGTGCTGCTGAGGGGGTCTGCAGAGGTGCCACCTCTCAGCGTGCCTGGACCCTGGTCCTTCACTATCTCAGCATCTCCTCATCCAGCCCTTCCTCCTAAGGACAGCGTGGTCCTGGAGCCAGCTTCCCCCAGCCCTGCGTGCCATGCTTCCCCTAAGCTTTTTCAGCACGCTGAGGCACTGCTGGTAGCCCAGGCTCTGTTGGGGGCATGGACCCTGCCATGGGCTGGTTGTCCCAGGCCCTGCAGCTAACCCTTTGCTTTGCTGTTCCTGCTCTCTGCCACCCATGGCTAACCACGTGCCAGTCCCAACCTCATGATACCCTGGAGCATCCAAGCGTCAGCTCTGCTGGACCAGGATCTCTATGTCTCCCTAGACGGGCAGACACCAAGGGTTGGATGCTGGCCTCCAGCCAGCTGGCAGCAAGTCCTTAGGAGGCTCCTTCTCCCAGACTGGGGACAGGAGCAGCTCTGAGCCACACATGCTGGTGCTGGCATACCCAGCAGCTGCTGGCTGGCCCGGTCCCTGCTCAGCAAGTCACTCGCAGCCTGGCTTGCATTGACCCGCTTCTGGTGGGACATCACCATCCACCCTTGTGTGGCTGAGTCCATCCCAGCACTGTGCTTGCACACTGTGGTGGGGAAGGGGTGGCTGAGTCCTTGGAAGCACCAGTTCTGCGTGAAGCAAAGTCTACAAGCAGTGGGATGAACTCCTGACTGCTCTGAGTGTGTGTACAAAGAGCTCTCAGGCAGTGCTCCTTACACTTGGCTGCTTTAGCAGACACACAAACCAACAACCCAGCCCACCACCCCAAGCACTCTCGCCAGACACCACGCAGAGCTGGCAGCTCACAGGGAGTGGGAATGTCCACATCCCCTGGCTGTACCAGAGGCTGTCTTCTTACCCAGAGACTAAGAATAGGTAAGGAGATAGAGAGCCAGTTTACCTTCAAGGTGGCCCCCAGCGACCTCAGTCCAGTGGAGTGCCGAGCCAGCTTCAGCACCCGGAATATCCTCATGAGCCGAAACACCTGCACGACCTTGCCCAGGTTGCCCAGCTCCGAGTCACTGCCCATGGTCACGTCCACCAAGAGGGTGAAGTAGAAGGGCAACACTGAGACAATGTCAATCAGGTTCAGCGGGTGCTTGAAGAACTTCCTGGGGCTGGGGGAGAGCAGGAGGCGGGAAGACACTTCGAAGGTGAACCAGGAGATGCAGAAATACTCCAGCTTGTGCAGGATGGGTTCATCGAGCACGTTGCCATTCTCATCCACCTCCTGGTACTCGGGCATGCTGTGGATGCACATGGTGGCTATGGAAACCAGCACCACGCTGATGGACACAAAGCTGAAGAGTTTGCTGGGGATGGAGTAGCCGGGGTTCTCCATGGTGAGCCAGAGGCGTTTGCGCACGTTGCCGCAGCGCAGCGTGCTGTAGTGCAGCAGGTCATGGTTGATGTCAGAGATCTCATCAGGGGACGTGTCCACGCTGCTGACCTCGCTCTCCTCATCCCAGTTGTGGTGCCGGCTCTCCAGCTTGCGTTCATGGTAGCGGTAGCTGCAGCAGGAGTCCAGGAAGAACTCATTAATGCCCCAGTACTCAATCTCCTGGCAGAAGGAGAAGACGCACAGCTCCTCCATGACGTGCAGCTTCCCTGTCTGGTAGAAGTGGAGCACGTAGAGGAAGAAGCCGGGGTTTCGGTCGAAGTAGAACTCCCTGGCGCTCACATCATAGTCATCGCAGAGCTGCAGGATGGACTCCTCTGAGTCGCAAGACAGCAGGCGTCCCAGGCGGGTGTCGGGAAACTTGGAGAGGGCACTGGAGCTGAGCCGCCTTCTCAGACCCCCCACGTTGATGTTGATAACGTCCTCCTCAAAACCGGGACCCCAGTAATTTAAGGTCTTGTTGACCATGATCAGCAGAGCGGGAGCTGGTTCCACCTGTAGGCAAGACACAGCGGGGCTGGAGGGGACGCAAGGCCCCTCCGACTCCGGGTGCTCCGGAGGGGCAGAGGGCCCAAAGCACCCTGGGGAGTCAGGAGGGAGGTTTGCAGTTTGAAAAGTGAGGACCAGGGAGCGGGGAAGGGAGAGAAACAACTTCGGGCAGCTGTTCTTCGGTGGTATGGAGCGGTGAGGCGGAAAAAAGCCAATTATTTTCCCAGGTCAAACTTTTCCGTGCTTTTTTTTACCTCTTAAAGTTTCTCCCTTTGCTAATGGCCTAAGGAAGGCAGTTTGCTGCACCTCCAGCACCTCGTCCATGGGGTTTTCCTTGTTCAAACAGGTAATTAGTCACTGAAGAGAGGATTTATCCCCCAAAGAGCCTCCCTCATGGAAAAAACAGATCTTGTCAAATCACTGCCACAGTGAATCTGCCAGAGAGCTTTGTAGCCCAACTGCCTACGTTGCTAATTAGACCTGGTCAAAAAGTCTTTAGATGGTGCTATCTACCCAGCAGCAAAGGCAGTTTTGCCAAAATCAAAGTGTTTTCACAGAAGGTGTCAGTTTTAGGGAGAATTTCAGTGGAAGAAGTGTCAAAACAATTCATCTGCCTGCTTTGTTTCCTCTTGTGTGTTCTGTCATGTAAAATATTAAGATTATTTTTATAATGTTGAAACATAACAAAAACATGATTCAGAATCATTGATGACTCTGAATTAAAAACCTGTAAATTGGTAGGGAAATAAAAAACAAAGTTTTGGTTTCTATTGTGTTTTAGGATTTTAAAAGTTTCAGGGAGCTGCGCTTTTCTGTCTAGCAGAAATTCCATTTTCTAATGAGCAGCAGCTAAAACAACTAACAAAGAGAAGCATTCCCACACCTTCAAAAGCATTTACCTGTCTTGATCAGAAGCTTAGAATAAAAAAGCCAAATAAAAAGGTCTGTGATCTTCTTGCATCCCTTGAAATCAGTCTCCACATACCTTATTCATCAAAACGCTTGGGGACGCACGGAGCAGCCCCGAACCCACGGCTCCTGGTACCCACAGCTCCTGGCACGGGGGTGTTGGGTGTCCCCAGGAGGGACATTGCATTTGCTCTCTAGGTTGGGGAATTATATTTTTCCGCACACATTGGCTACTTTGGAAGAATCCCACTCTTAGGCATGACTTGCTCCTGAGCTCTGCTCACACTTCCAGGCTGGTACCGACACGACTTCTGCAGCCGCTGATGCTTTTGCTGCAGCGGTCTCCGAGACATTTGTGACCTGCAGACTGGCCTTTCCCCCATCCCAGAGGCTTCCCCCCTGGTTTTAATCAGCCGGTGTAGAAACTAGGTATGGAGTTACGTATGAACTAGAAAAATCCCCCACCTTCTCTGTCTCGTGTTGCCCACTGAAGTTTTCAAACTTCAGGTGATGCAGGGACAGAGGCCACAGACAGGCAGCAGGAGCCGAGGGAAAAGGCTGCAGAAGCCCCCGCGGTGATGCCGAGGTGCCACCAGACCCTGCGTGGGACAGTCCGGTCCAACAGCAGCCACCGAGGGCCAAGGCCGGGTCAGTGACACGCGGCGGGTCCCCCCCATTGCACCCCAGCCCCGTGCTGCTCACCGGACATCTCCTGGGGTTTCTGGGGCAAACGCTGAAGCAGGGGAAGGGCTCTGCATGTTTTCCAGTGTCTGAGAAACGCAATGTAAAAGGTTCATCAGACCAGGAGCGACCCGGGGGACATTTTCACATCTGAATCTGGAGGCCAGAGCAGAGCCGGAGAGGGGCAGGTAACGGAGTAACGGTTAGAAATAAACCCCCGAGGTATGCTTTTAAGCTGAGCAGGGCTGTGCGTGCAGCAAATGCCAGATTTGTGTGAAATATCCTGGCAAAGGCATCTGCTAACTCCACTGCATCTCCCAGCCAGGGCTCCTTAAAGACACAGGCTTTGCACCACAAAGCCAGCACTTCCCATTACACCGTGTCTGAAGGAGGCAACTGGCTTGCGATAAGCCTCAGAGCTTAATGGACTCATTCTCTTGCCTTTCAAAGGGGAGGGGAAAAAAAAGAAGGATCAAGTTTTTCAATGCTTAAGACAAAAGCAAAGGAGAAGAAGGGTTGTAAACATTCCTTTTCAGGGATAAATTGGAATTTCTGTGACAGATAAGTTTTTCCAGGGAAGACATCACATAGCCCATCTGTGGGGTGGGGATGACTAATCCAGGTTCCTTCCAGAAGGATGCTTATGCATTCAGACTACACACACACACATAGACACGGCTGTGGGGGTGGGTCTGTGGGGTCCAGCTTATCCCACACCCGTCCTCAGCCTCTCTCTGTACCCTCCCTATACAGCAGCCGCTCTGAGAGGCCAGGCCGAATGTCACCGAAATCAATGGAAAGGTGGTTTTGGGGCTGGGCTGGGCCACGGGGCAGCCCGGGGGGCTGCGCTGGGAAGGCAGGACAAGCCTAAAGTGATGCTCCAGCTCAGCGGGACCATCCCCAGCGCACAGCTGTGCTGTGCGGCTGCGGCTCTGGGCGAGACGTGCCAAACCCCGAGAGCCAGGAGGGAGCCGGCTCCCACCTCTCACGCAGCTCAAAAAAAATGGGGTGTCAGGACCCTGCAAGCCTTTGTACCCCAGGGAAACCCCTCCAGCCCTCCCTCCCACGCGGGAAGCAGAGCGAGGAGAAGGGTCGCGAACTGTCTGAGATGCTCCTTCCTGACGTTCGCTTCCGAATAGAGCAAATTATTTCTGCCCACATGCAGCTTTCATCTAGGAATCTAAAGCAGCAATTAATAGTTTTATAACTCTTCTCCCTACTCATTTCATGACTAGCTAAGATCAGCTTTAGAACAAAACTGAGGTTTGAACTAAGACCTGGCGTGATCTCCCCTGTTAGATCATCAAAGGATGCGCATTTGCAGAGGTATCTGCTGGGAAACAGGAGCTTACTTTAGGAAGGTTGGGTGTTTTTTTATTTTAAAGCACAATGGACAGAGAATACAAATGTGTCTGTCTGGAATAAAGTGAATTTGCAACATTTTCCTGTAGCTAGCCCAAAATTTCCATGAATGATTGGAAAAATAGAACAGGTAAGGCCAGTCTCTTTCTGATAAATTTTGAAATATATTGTAAGCTATTTTAAGGAGACAACCATCAGAATTACACAAGCCCAGTGTGAACTGGGTGTTGGGTGTTTAAATGAATATGTATCTTGTGGAGAAAGAAATCTCTGATATATGCATTTATGACAGTAAAAAATATAAAAACAGATCAAGCATATCTGTAAGAAATGCTAGAAGAGTTTCCCTTGACAACGTATTTTTTTCTTAAAGGCTTTCAAATGGAAGTTATGTATATTTATTCTAACTGGCAGAGGGGACCAAAGGGAGTGGGAAGGAAGATGCTAATAGACATTCAAGTGAGGATGCAGCAAGCGCAGGGAGTATGGCACGCAGGGGCTTTTCCAGCGAGGTACAATAGCTTCAGATTAACATTCCAAATAAAAAGCCCTGTACTTACAGCTCAGTGAGGCTTCCCAGTGGGGAATCGTGTGGCTTTTCTCAAAGGAGCCATTAGAAACGCGGAAAGGAGGAAGCCCTTCATCCTTTGCCTGTAGGCCAGTCCTAAAGGCCCTGTCACCCTGGGCTTGCAACCCTGCACGTCCCAGGCGTGCAGGGGTGGTGGCTGCAAACCGCTGGAAGAAGTCCTGCGTGGGATGCCCATGGGGCTGGAGTGGGGCTGGGGTTCCCCGCTAGGTACCTGGTAGGGGAGTGGGGCTCCTGCAGGATGGTGTCCCCATAAGCCATGGGCCGGGGCAAGACTGGGGAGACGCCTGCTTTCTGGTCATCCAAAAGTGCCCCTGCAGAGCCCCGTCCCCATGGCTGAGCCTCCCTGTCCCCATCGGCCTGAAGATGCTCAGGACCAAGCCCTTCCTTTGGCGGGTGGCTTCGCCTGGCAGGTAGCGGGGAGCATGGCAGGGGGGTTCCAACTGCTGGTTGCTCCCTGCAGGCAGAGCATCAGCTGCTGCTGTACGCCGAGAGGCCACCAAAACGCCCAGGGCTGGGGATGCAGGTGACGGGGACACACA